CCTCTGTGGTCAGTGGTCAGAGTTCCTGCCTACAGATCCAGAGGTTCCGGTTTCGATTCGTGTGGCTACCAGATTTCCTGAGAAGTAGTGGGTCTGGAACGGGGTCCACTCGGCCTCATGAGGATAATTGAGGAGCTATTTGAAGGAAATAGCAGCTCCGATCTAAAAAAACAAAAACAGATTAACGGCCATGGGGATCCGTTGCGCTGACAACGTGTCACCTTCTATCCGCAAAAGTTGGCACTAACTTCGCTGACAAGCGGCGATCGCTCGGTCGGTATAGTTCGCTTGCCGACTACAGGCCACGGAGTTTTGTTTTTGTTTAAACACATTAAGTCTGGAAAGCTGAACATACATCGTTCATAAAGTGGGTGTGCAAACTCATCGCATTCCGTTTTGCATCATATTTCAGTGTTTTGACTATAACGTGAAGTGCTGAAAGACGAATGAATATGGGATTCGTACAATTGTAATGAAGACCTGAGTGACATGTAGCCTAAGTACTATATTACGCGCCTAGGTAATATAGCATTTCCGTGCAGTTTAAGGTGGTGTAGTGGGGAAAGGGGCTGCAGTATCTAATCTAAGTGGGGAAGATGCCCTTCATAATTTATCGCCGTTACGCGGTTGCCATGGCATGAAACATATGCATACAGTACTGAAGTTATGTTGCAGACGGTGCCCGAAACTTACGTCAATGTATTATTTACAGCAGTATTTTTGTTAAACTGCTATAGCAAGATTGAAACGCCGACAGTGTTAAAAGACTTGTGTTATTGACCGTGCGGTTAAATTCCGTCGGCTGCGTGGGTAGGCCCAATTTAATTCTGTGGCAAATGTGGAATTTGCGGTAAAGCAATCCTGAGCTGGGATTTCACCTGTGCCCCAGCATTTCCTAGGATTCAGGAGCAAGGAAGTTAAGTCACGAGAAGTAATTTGCGTTAAAGCAATCCTGAAGTGGGATTTCACCTGTGCCCCAGCATTTCCTAGGATTCAGGAGCAAAGAAGTTAAGTTACGAGAAGTAAGTGATAATGTGAGAAATTGTTCCAGTTGTGGAATCATTTCTCAGTAGTAGTGAAGGAGAAATAATAGTAGGAGACATTGACCTTGGTTAATTCCAAGGCCTTGTCATTTTTAGTTGCAAGAAAAAGCGCGCGTCAATTATACACGCACCAGAGAACCGACACGTTGATTTCACGGCCAGTTTGCACACGGCACGACTGAGTGTTGGCTGGCCATGTTTAAGGATTCCGAAGGCGTATAGTGCCATGGAATCCATTAACACAATGATGCAGCCCACTCATTTCCAGAATTTTAACCGCTTTAACTTGTAGTCGTATTGAGTGAATTCATTCTCATTGAGACATGACACCCTGAAGTTGCCGCTGGAGGAGCCTCCCTCCACATGTGGAGGGTAGCTGTGAATATTGTCACGTGTCCGGGATTCCATGACAAATTGTGTTGTTGCGGATTGGACGCAGCTCGTTAACAGTTACAATCACTGTGAAAACTTCTTGCAGACAATGCGACCTGACTGGTCCATGGTCTCTGTTCTGACCTCTGGTGTGATCTTCTCTCTGGTCTTATGTCCGCACCGGTTTCATCTCGTTAAATCTGGTGTAATCTCCCTGAGGCAGGTTCTTGGCGTACCGAATAGCAGACTCCGCCCCGAACAGTTGAGTATTTCATTTCCGTGGTAACCTCCTGCCTATGTACGCGTTACCACGGTAACACCTCCAGTTCTGCCGTAACTTATGTGTCTAGCAGACTTCACCCAATGTCTCTTCAATGAACACTCAGCCTTTCGAGTCTTCTTTTTTTTGTTGTCTAATATCCATAACCGTAAAACGATCCTGCCTGTCGAAATTTACACGTATTTATAGCTACATGAATAGTGTTAGGGGGCACGCGGTAGCGTATTTGGTTGAGGGGCTATGCTACAAGCCGGAAGGTCGCGAGTTCAAGACCCGATGAAGTCATTGGATTTTATTTTCAATTGACGTAAACCTTCCAGCCGCACTATGACCCTGGGGTCGACTCAGCCGCTAACATAAATGAATACCATGAATTAATTAAATAATTTTCCTGGGGAGTAAAGCGTGGCCCGCGTGTAAGACTGACAACCTTACCGTCATCTTTGAGCCGATTGTCTAGATAATGTGGGACCCGTAACGTCTCACAACCCTATGGGCCTTCACGGCCTGGTACAGGGATAGCTTTACTTTTTTACTTTACATGAATAGTGTTATATTTGGAACTGTAAAATCCAGAAAATTATTTCGGAAGCATTTCCGTGCTTTACACCTGGATACCATACATGAACCTGGCAGGAACAAATTATTTTTCTCTGCTCCTTAACGTTCAGACCGGCTCTGGGGACTACGAGCTTCATGTAGTGCCGAGGTCAAGAGTGGTGGAGTTGTGTATCCATTCTCACGTCTTTATGGCGTGGTGTTTAATTAAGCACCTGAACTTCATCTCCTCCTCCTTCAAGGGTATAGGCTATTGGTCTTATTCAGATTTGAAGAGAATACGAGTATATCCTCCGATCTAACTATGGTCTCTTGAAGATGGCCAGTAATTGGTATCTTCCCTGGCCGCGTTACGAGCGCTACGCAAGAGTAGTTTCTTGATGGGGGTTCCATCTCCCTGCCCCCAAATTTGCAGAGTGTCTTCGTCAACTTTACCTTTATCTGCAAAATGCAGATGTTTTTAAGTGTTAAAGCAGGTGACTCAGATTTCAAATACTATACTTCAAAAGGGTTGAAGCGAAAAGCATAATGAAGTGCGTTGCGCATAGACACGAACACCGCCACACACACTTTGAAATAATTTACTGTGTCGTGAAGTACTGAATTGTATTTCAATATGCCGTTTTCAGCATAGAGTGAGAACACTGATGCTGCAGCATGGGTAGAACATTGTCTAGAAACTTTTTTTTTTCTAACATATTTCCGAGAATGAATTACGGGTGTTAGGTAAGTTGACCTTCCCTCGTTTAAAGAAGGAATGAGTAATCAGATGTCTAGATTCATTCCCATTTATGTCTTCGCTCAACAGTATTTGACGAAGAAAACTGTTACGGAAAGTGATATCTATTGCAGGCCTACTCGTTTAATTAAGATTCCTGACTTTTGTTCAGGAGGCGCCCTGTTCGAATCTTGGCCGCGATACAGATTATACTATTTTATGTCGTGGTTTTATTACACAT